TGCAGGGAATCTTAGGAAAAAAGGGGGTGATAGGAAGACCTGGAGGGGACAGGAGCTCCGCAAGGAAAGCAGCAGAATCAAAATATCTGGGCACAGGGATCTTTTCTGAGACTGATACTCCAACCAAGGACCATTCATGGAGATAACCTAGAACCCCTGCAGAGATGTAGCCAGTGGCAGCTCAGTTTCCAAGTGGGTACCCTAGTAAGGGGAACAGGGGCTGTCTCTGACATGAACTCATGGGCTGGCTCTTTGATCACCTCTCCCTGAGTGGGGAGCAGCCTTACCAGGCAGGCCACAGAGGAAGACTATGAAAGACAGTCCTGATGAGACCTGATAGGGTAAGATGGAAGGGGAGGAGGTCCTCCACTATCAGTGGACTGGGGAAGGGGTATGGGAGGAGATGAGGGAGGGAGGGAGGGAGGGAGGCTAGAATTGGGAGGGGATGAGAGTGGGGCTACAGCTGGGATACAAAGTGAATAAATTATAAGATATAAAAATAATTATATTTTTAAAAAGTATGACGACATGGGACTGGAGAGAAGGCTCAGCAGTTAGGAGTGCTTACTGCTCTTTCAGAGGACCCAGGTTCAATTCCCAGCACCCACATGGCCCTTCACAACTATCTGTTAATGCCAAGATCTGACACTTACACAAGCATACATACAGGCAAAACACCAATGAGGGAGGGAGGGAGGGAAGGAGGGAGGAAGGGAGGGAGGAAGTTGTAAGTTAGAGCTTACAGGGGGTAGGGTTAGTTAGGTAGACTAGAGCTAATTGGCCAGCTACCCTAGCCAAATCAAGAATCTCCGGGTCCAATGAGAGACAAATGTACAACACTAAGAAAAATGCTTGATATGAACTACTGGCTTCCAGGTTCTGGCTTGCCCCAAGCAGATAAGAAAGCAAATGACAACAAATGCTGGTGAGAATATAAGGTAACCAAGTCTTATACAGTGGTGGTGGGAATGTAAACTGGTGCATCCCCTACGTAAGTCAGTGTGAAGCTCCTCCAAAGCTCAATGGTTATGACCCAGCTACAGCACACTTAAGATATATACCAGGACTTTAACTCAACATAATACAGAAACATTTGTACATCTAGCTTATTGTTTCACTATTAGCAATAGTTAGGAAATAGAACTAACCAGGTATCCAACAGATTGGATTGATAGAAAATGTGGTGTATTTACAGAGAGTAATTTTTTCAGCCATCAAGTGTAAAATCATGACGTGTGCAGGAAAATAGGTACAAAGTAGGTAGAACTGGAGATCACTGTGTTTAGCGAAATAAGCCAGACTCATGTTTATTTTCTCTCATTGGCAGAACCTAAGTATGTATATATGTATGAAACAGACAACTTACCGTGTGAGAGAGAGAATTTCAGTAGGAAAGATGGTAAAAACAGAGTAATGGAACACATGACATAAACACAGAATGGAAGGCTATTCAGAGAAGGAAAGGAGAAAGCAATATGGAGAGAGTGGGGTCATGGCCACAGTCGGTGAAAGGGATGATTAAAAACAAAGTATAATGACATACATATATGGAAATGCTATAATAAAAAAGATTACTTTATATGCTAACTTAAAAAAAATTAAGGTTGACTCATCATGACAAAAATCCTCTTTTTTTTGGTTAGAATTTCACATTACCAAAAAAGACATTTTCAGTAAAACACTAAGCAAATGCTTGAAATCAAAAGACATCAATTCTAAGTATTAGAGGAAATTTTAATAACTTAATTTTCAATGATTTGTGAAGAGTGCACAAAAATTTATAATTGAATAAACAGATGCACATATTTGTCATTCAGGCTGAAAATACAACCAGGCTTTCCCCACCCTACCTCACTCTCCATCACGCTCCAAACTCATCTACCCTATGATTTCCACTGTCTTCTACATAAAGCTTCAATAACACACAAAATTATTAACCTGACTCAACAAAGTCCTATATGATCTGGCTCCTCTCCCATCCTTAACTACTGCTATTCTTCCTTTGTTCTTTCAATTCCTTTCAGTTTCTCCAATTTCCCCCATCTCATTTTTAGGATTTTCATAAAATCTGTTCTCTAAAACCTTGAAAGCTATTCATCTTTCCAAGTTGAGATCGAATGACACCATTTCAAAAAAAGCCCTTTCTTGACCTCAACATAATGTATTTCCAAAGCATTTTAGACTTCTTTACCACACACAGTATTATAATTACTTATTCAGCATCTGTCTTCCCTAACAAATAAAAAGTTATTTCTCGCCATGACAAATATTATTTCCCACACTAATTAGCACAGCCTAAGTGAAGTACTCAAGTTTGCTAATACATTCAAACCTCAGGGTAGTAAAAAAATAAAATAAAAATAAAATCATGTGCTACTTCACTATCATGAATTGCTAAAAATTATAATGTTCCTTCATACAGACCTTCCTCAAACAATGTTTTTATTAATTACATGTCAAAACTACACACAAAAAAATCTTTATGTATTTAAAAAAAACAGCATTAGAAACCAGAGGTGGTAAATAATGAAGCTTTTTAAGTCATCACCTAGAAGAATAATAAAGAACAGGTGCAAATTAAAAGAACAAGAAAAGGAGCTAAATTTTACAACAATGTACACTAGAAAGGGCCACTGTGTAGACTTTATTTGCAGTAACTGTTTATTGTAATCATGGAAAGTAACAGTCTTCTGAGTAGTTGCTACAATAAATATACTTTTTTTTTAACATATACATTAAGTACATAATTTTAGGTTAGTGAAAAACATGAAATGGCAGTAAAGTAGATTTGAAACTTGCTAACTGCACACAGGGTAGTATTCTAAAGATTACATATATATATTCACTATTTGCCACACTTTACAGATGGAAACACAAGCACTGAATTATGTGAGTTATCCAATATTATACAATTTTAGGTGAGTGCTAGGTGGCACAATTCAAAGCTAGTCATTGGGCTCTGGGATCCTCCCTCTCACCTGTTATATATGTTACCACTGACTTCCTAATCCGCTGAAATAAAAAAATATTTGCTTATGTAGAAGTGGAGGGTAGGGAGGATTTCATCTAGGGATGCCAACAGTAGGCTAAACCCTCCAGATCTCTGAAGCTGAACTTCTCTCCACTCCATTCCAGTCAACTCCTTTGCTAGGACCACCAACTGCTTGCCAGTCTGCCAAATTTAAGAACTTTGAACTTATGCCATCAGTCTGCAGAATCCCATCAAGTTAATAACCCCCTGCTTTTGCCATACCCCCCTACCTTAACACTGCCAATTCTGCATCTATACATTGATCCCAGGAAATCTCCCACAATTCCATGGCTTCAAATCCTATTAGCATGACTTTATATGTCTCTAGTCCTGGCCCAGGTTCCAGACTCCAATACCCCACTTTACTTAAGATGATAACTAGTATTTCACACTTAATCGTAACAGCATGCCAACCACCATTCCCTTCCCCAACCTGGATTGCCCTCAGCCTTCTCCATCATACACCCAGCTGTTAAAACTAACTTTGGGGTATCATGTTTGATTTTTTCTTTTCTTATCTTCAACATCCACTCTATCAGGAAGTTCTATCAAACCTACTTGTGAAGTACTTTGGTTCCATCCCCACAATCATGCAATACACTATCACGTAGTCGCTTCCTACAATAACTTCAAAATAGCCTCCCTTCATTTAACTCTTATCCCCTTAAGTCTTCACAAAACAGGTGTATCTAAACTCAAATCAGTCTTGGCCTGCTTTAAATGACCTATCTTTTCACTATGAGTTAAATAAAATCTTAATTTCTGACCCTGACCTAAAAGCTCCCACATGCTTTGGCCCCTGTTTACTACTAACTACTCTCTTCCCTAGTCTTTCTCTTTTTTGAGCAAACCACAAACCTGAGAGAGCATGTCTTTCAGCAGGCCTTTTCATCTATTTTTTTCTGCAAACGAGTCTTTTCTCAGACACAGAAGGGTCCTTCTCCTCTTTAAGTTTTGTTAAACAGTACCTGCTCAGACAGCTTCATTGACCAACAAGTGCTGAAGCATCCTAACCACCTTTACATGATCCTCTACTATCATAATAGTCATAACTGGTCATATGTGAAATGTATTTTACTGCATCTTGTTAACCGGAGAATGTTAAAGTCCAGTCCCAAAGCTTCCCACAGTACACGGTAAAAACTTAATACATGCATTAAATAAGTGAATTATCTATCGCTGCGTTTTACGTTGTTATTGAAAATCAACAATGCGGAAAATAAATTTATCTATGATGAATTTTGCGTTAAATAAATCCATAAAACACTCATAAAAGTTTTCAGTCTAGGACATTTCAAAAGTCGCGCGAACTATTGAATTCCTCCATAAACTGCTAAATATTCCATATGGATAATGACTTGTTTGGGTTTTTTTTTTTTTTTCCTTCTCCACGTGAGGAGGGTGTAAATGAAAAAGGGAGGTTTTACTGGGCTTAGCACCTGTTACATCTTCAATCAGTTAAGAGAGGTGCATATGAGCCAGGCACCACATGGAAGACGTGGCCTTTCTTTAAGGGACTGTAAATGAAACCTTAAGTTTCATTTCGACCTGCCCTAATCCCTAATAAAAGCCGTTCACTTCGTTTAAAGAAACGCTGTGAAACAATCTACGGCCAGGAAGATATGCTAGCATTCATGAAGAGCAAAGAATCTGATGTGGAGGGCCTCCGAGAACACAGGTGTATGGGGAAGTTTGGTAGCAGTCTACATGTAACGGGAAAACAAAAGCAGCGGACACCGGTTCAAAGATCAGTTCAACGATCAAAATAAGGTTCTATCAAAAACAGTTCTAGCTTTGGCTATCTTGAACCTGGACGCGAAGGTGGATGAAGAGAGAAAACAGAGCCCTGGGACCCTTGTCCTTCGCTCTGGCCTCCACCACAGATACTTTGCGTAAAAACTGCACGGATCTGCGCGCCCGCTTACCCGCCACCGCCAGCCCTGCAAGCCCAGCTCCCCAGGGTACTCACATGGGCTCGAGGGTCTTGCTGAGCCAGGACTTGAGTGCCTCGAAGTTTTCAATGATCATCTTAGAAACCATCCACCGCGGCCCCGAAGCCGATCACACTCCCGAGCTGGCCCAGGTCGCGGCCGCCGCCGCCGCCTCCTCCGCGCGCCGTCCGCGTGGGCCGCGGTGGGAGGCGCCGGTGGCAGGTTCCCGCGAGCCGCGGTCGGCGAGCACCTCGCCGGGGCCGCCGCCGGTCACGCGCCCACCTGGCGCCGGGAGCTTCCCCTCCGCGGACCCCGGCCCAGGCTGAGGCAGCAACCGTTTGCCCGGGCCCTCCCCCCTGCCCTGCTCCCCAGTGAATCCTCCCGCAGGAGGGCCGAACGCGCTCACACCCGGGCTGCTCTCTCAGCTTTGGGATTGGGTGCTTGTTGGCAACGCGGCAGAGGAGAAGCGAAGAAAGCGAAAAACGAAGGGCGGCTCAATGGGAACGGCTCGGGGGTCTTCCCGGCTTCCAACACCCCCAAGAAGATGGCTGCCGAGAAATCTCGCGAGAAATACTTGAAGTCTCGCGGTGAGTCCCAGAGCATGCTGGGAAGAAACGCAAGTTCGGCGGAGAGTGCGCCGAGCAAGTTCTGTAGGGTATTTCTTGCTTGCGTGGGTTTAGGCCGTAGTCCCTTTTTTACCCGTCCGCCCGCAAGCGTAACCGCAAGCGCTGTCTTATATCACAAGGATGCAAAGGCCGCTGACCCCCAGACCTTGTCCTCCAAGAGGACTGTGCTCCTCAGCACGAATGAACCTTCAAGATGGAAGAGCTCCCCGAGAAGGCGGCCAGCAGTTTGCAGGTGTCCTGCACTGTGCAACCTGCCTTGGTTTATTCCACCACCCTCCGTAGGTGCTGTCCCGTGCGCACGATGAATTAAACACAGCCTGGTCTTCCCTAACCCACTGAGACCCCCAGAGGATTAGTATCCTCATCCAAAAGTTCATGACTTTTTTTTGGCTAAGGTCTGATGACCTGTGGATGACCCCAAACAAGAGGAGTTAACTTTGTTGATTTCCGACCTAGCTAAAGACAATTTTGTTACGTTTTAAGTTCTGTTCGTTTAGAAAAGATACACTTTCTCCATGAAATTACAATGTACCAATGCAGAACACTCAAACCTCAAACCAGCATCCTATATATCGTGAGCGGTCCAACAAGTTTGGCTACTATATAATATTATTAGGAGACTAGTAAAGGCTAAAGTCCATCGACTACAACTGGAATGAAAATAGTTCACAAATCTAAAGACACGAACCTTAAATTCTTGAGGAGACAGAATTTAAAATTTGCTGGAGTGTACTGTCTATGCATTAACTGGAAAGATGATGAAAAACAAAGCAAGACGTTTGTTCTGAAATACAATATATTGAGTCATTCGTTAATTAGAATCAAGCTAATTAATAATCAGGGTATTGTTGAAAGTGATTTAGCTAACTGAAATAAGCCAGATATGAAAAGGTAAATATTTAGGATTCCATTTATAGAGGTTGCTAGAGCAGCCAGGAGATATAGAATGTAGAATTGTGGTTGGCAGGAATGAAAGTGGAATGGGAACCAAAGAGAAAGGAAACATGGGAATTATGTCTCAGTGATACAGAGTTTTAGTTTGGAATGATAAAAGAGTTCTGGGATGAGTGGTGTTGGTGGCTGAACAGTTTGAATACATCTAATGCCATGGAGTTGTATACATACAATTATTAAAATTGTAAATTTCGATTACATATAAAATTTATTTGTAAGTGATATATTACTGAGAATTGTGTGTTTCTGTTTAAAGGCACCATACCTAATACTATTGTTGATTAATCAATATTAAACTCATGTTCCCTGGCACTGTAACACGTTTGAACAAAGCCCATACAATTCCTTTATTTTTCTCTGTAAAATACATCACAGCTTTCTTATATGTAGGGATCATCGTTGCATTGTTGCTGATTGTTCCTCGTGGAGATCTGGAGCATTTTACAGTAAAATCAGAAGAAAAAAAGTTCATAAGTGAAGAAAATAAAACATGGCACAAAGTAGACCACAAAATAAGACTTGTTTTCATTGTGAGAACTAAAAAGAGAATGCAGTATATCCCCTTGTCCAACCTCAGATGAAAGCATATACATCATTAGACTTGAATTTTAAGCTACTCACCATATGGCCATAAATGTCCACTGTAAAACTGCTATTGGTTTGAGGGTTACAAATAAATTCAAAAGAGTAAGAAAACTCATGAATATAGAGTAATAAGAATTAGCTGTATTTCTGAATGGTAAAATGAAGACCTATATATTCCAGGAAATGTTCCTTCACCACTGAGAATAATACCAGTTCTTTCCTCCTTCCATAGCACAGTGCTTGTTACCTGTATGCAGTTAGTCTCTGCTGCTTTGTAGAGAAATTTTAATCCAGAAATGCAGCTTCTCTGGCTGGAATACAGAACGCCTTTAATCCCAGGAGACAGAGGAAGCAGATCTCTGAGTTCAAGGTCGGCCTGGTATAGAGCAACTTTTAGGGGGAAAAAAAGACAATTTAGGTCTAGGTGTGGTGGTACATTCGTTTAATCCAAGAGTTTTGAAGGCAGAAGCATGCAGATCTTTGAATTCTGTTCAGGCAGCACAGTTGAGTCAGTGAGTTGAGAGGCAGTGCAGTGGAGTTGTGGCAGTTCAGTTCATGTAATTCCGAGGCAGTTTTTACCAGAAGTTTTACAGAGGGAAGTTGAAGAGAGAACAAGCTAGATCCAGGCGATGACAGAGGAGCCAGAAGATTAGAACAGATTGATAGTTTGAGGCCAAGCAGAGCAGTTCATTCAGAAGCTGAGAGAAAGTCAATTTGAAGTCAGCTTGGAGAGGAGTTTGAGCCAGAACAGCTAAGTTGAACCAGCCAACAAGAGTTCAGAAAGAACAAGACAAGATGAGGTTATTCAGCAATAAGTTTTAGTCTCTGAAAACATTCTAGGCCTAGACTGTACAGAGGCTAGAAGCTTCAAGGACTTGGGCTAGGTTAGCAGACTAAGGCAGTAAGCCTCAGAGATAACAAGTAAATCAGGCAAATAAAAATTACTTTTTCACTATTCCCAGGCTTTTCTTCAATAGCCATTGTTACACAATCTGTATTACTCCATTACTTCATTTTCTTTAGACCTGTCTCAAACATAGAAATTTAACTAATGCAGTAATTAATAGTACCCAGAGAATATTAACTACTACCATGAACACTTTAGTATTCAACATTTTGTTATTTTACATGTTCCAACATATATTGGCCTTTCAAGACCCTGTCACTATTAATGTTGTTCCTTAAGCGCAAAATGGCATTCCGCATTGCTCACATTGTATTTCCTCACTGGCAGCCTAGAGGATGGTTTTAATAGTCTTTTGGTTTCTGAATGTAAAATAGAAGTTAAATTTTTCATTTAGTTTTCTAATCTTTCTTATCTATAATATGCTGTATCAAATTAATTCCCTTTTATGCTTCTTGACTTAGCATAATATCAGAACAAATTAAAAATGTTAAAGGCTGTTTGCTGTACTTTAAGTGAGAAAGAAGCTGAAGTAAGAGAAACTGTTTCAGCCAGGAGTGAAACTGACACATTTTCTATAAACTTGTATCTTTTTATGCTCTTTTGTCTTGGGTTGCCTTGTTTTTCCATTGCCTTGCCCCAGGACTGTTGTCTCTACTGTGCTTAACTTCTTATATTCTTTCAGTTCTCTCACAGAGTTGATGAACATAGTCTTAACAGTCTCATTAGTGCTTCTAGAGCTACCCGCCTCTTTTATCTCTACATACCGAACTAGTTTTTCTCTACAGTGCCCTCAGCAGCCTGTCATTTCCACAGTGTGAGATGTTATTTATCATACATTCTATTCTCATTTATACATGACTCAGACTATAACTTCCTCTTCAGCTGGCCTATTTGTCTATGACTACACCAGTGCTTCGTTATTTTATTTACTAGTGTGTTAATGCCTTTCCTCTGTGCTTCTTTTTCAAAAGAACCTTTGAACTTCCACACATTTAGCGATCCGGCTTTATGAAACACAATAGAGGATGTAGAGCATTCCAGCAGTGTAGGCAGGAAGGCTCAATCCTGGCTTCATTAAGAATATAAAATTTTTAATGATTAGGAATAGTGAATTGTAACAGAAATTAACCATGTGAAACAAAATACAGACCAGAACATTCCAGGCTTACAGGATAGCTTTGCAGGATGTTCCTGGTGCAAATAAAAGATCTTTACAAAAGTGTAAGAAGTGGGGAAGTATGACTTTGGGTGGAGGGCGAGAATGGCTGTGGTCAAGTTTGAGGTTAAAAAAGGTAACTTAAGTTTTCTTTTGATTAGGATATGGTGAGAAGGTATTGAAGGTTTTTTTGTTTTGTTTTGTTTTGTTTTGTTTTGTATTGCAAGGCAAATTATAGTCACAAGAATACCTGTGCCTACTTCTCAATCATTACATTTGAGAATTTCTGAATAAAACCAGAAAATAGGCAAATTGGCCTTTAGCATAATAATTTCAGAGGTTTTGTTTATCTATAAATAGTATCAAGGGCATATTAATAAAGTTTTTTCTTTTTTTCTCATTTTTTAATTTTATTTTTGATATTGAAATATTTTCCCTTTTATTTTCCTCCCTCCACACCCTTTCAGATACTCATCCATGCTCCCTTTCAAATTCATGGCCTCCTTTTTTTTTTTTTTTTTTACTAATTGTTATTGCACACATGTATATGTATACACACATGGAAGTATATATTTTTTAACCAGGCTGACTGCTGCTAGAAAAGAAAAAGAATGTTTCCTGTGGCACACATAATAATACAAAAGAAAGTATGTCACCACTTGCTGCTGATATAAACCGGATTCAGAAGGCAAACGGCAAACTGCCTGGCATGGATACTAGGAACCTAACTTGGTCCTCTGGAAAGCAGGGAGCAACTGAGCCATGTCTCCAGCACCCGACTGTATGTATTAAACATAAAAATATCAGCCCCACATGGTTGGTGGTTCATGCCTGTAACCCCAGCAATTGGGAGGCCTTGATTACAAAAGTAGTTCTAAGCTATGTAGTGAACTTATTTTTGGAAGGAAAGAAAAAAAGAAGGAAAAAGAAAGAAAGAAAGAAAGAAAGAAAGAAAGAAAGAAAGAAAGAAAGAAAGAAAGAAAGAAAGAAAGAAAG